AGGCTAGTGAATCTTCGATTGCGCCATCCCGGATGCTCCATCATCATGAAGTCTTGCAATGATTCCTTCAATCTCTACAGTTCTCTGTGATAACGTATCAAGAGCATTCATAATGGCATCCAACTTGGACTTTGAACTTTCAATCATACTAATATCTTGACCTCCGACCATTCTAAAAGAAGAAAAGAAATAATTCTACAAGAAGGCAATATTGGTTTAGAGGAAGGTACTCCGTAACCTCAAAATATCTTAAAACCTTTAAGAAGAAGGATAATCCACTCTCTCCAAGAAAGATAAGACTCCAATATTATAATAGAAGAAATATCAATTTAGAAGAAGGTAATTTGCAACTTCTAAAATGCCAGCACCTTTAAGCAAAGGGATAATCCACACTCTAACAAGAAAGAACTAGCTCTGATATGAAAGATGAATGCAGTCTCGACAAATTGTCACCAATTTAGAATACTGGTTGGAAATCTAAACAAGAAACTCAAGAAGAATTGACAAGAACTAGATTAATCACATGAGTACAAGAACAATATTAGAGAAGTGAACTAGAGCTCTAAGAGATATATTGTCGAGACTGAGGATCCTCTCAATCTCGGCTCCTATATATACTTCAAACTAGAAAGCTTCTCAAGTAGTTTCTATAAACTAAGAAGCTTCTTAAGCAACTTCTACAAGTTTGGAAGCTTCTCAAGTAGCTTCCACAATCTATGAAGCTTCTCAAGTAGCTTCCATGAGCTAAGAAGCTTCTCAAGCAGCTTCCACAAACTACAAAGCTTCTCTAGAACCTCTAGAATCTTCTACAACTTCTTAGTGTATGTCCTTGATACAAAGAGGGATAATCTACTTTCTTTAAGGAAAAGATCAATGCTAGAAAATAAGATTTTTTGTTTATAAGTGGATAGTCTATAACCTTCAAAATACAACAATAGAAGTAAAATAATCCACTCACTTTTAAAATAAGATAGAAATAATAAATTAGCACTCTTGTCAAACTATCAAGAATATGAATCTTAAAGAAAGAAAATCATTAATACAATCATGTATCACTAAAAAGAATTAGAAAATCAATCAAAGATGATATATTTTTGAACTAGAATGACTATTGCCTAAGACAAAAAAAACTAGAAAGTCTTGAAATAAGACTAAGGATTAGAAAGGCATTGACAAGAGTGAAGATGGCTTTCCTTTTGTCTCCATATATATTCTTAACTAGGAACTATATGAAAATATCCTATAAGACCTCTAAAACGTGTTGACTTTCTAAGACACGTATCTTAACTTGTAAGGCAAGTTTCTTCTATGTGTACCACATAGTTAGCTTCTTTCATAAGCTATCAATACGTTGTTAACTTATTGATCAAGTTTTTAATCTACTAATCAACTACAAACATATGTAAAGTCAAAATAACATCTATGAAGCTTCTAAGAAGCTTCTTTAGAAGGTATTATGAAATTAACCTACTTTTATCTATTCTTATGTACTCATATAGGTATTCTCTAAAGTACCAATGTATATCTGTGGCATTTTGCCTACAATAATTTGAAACATTCTTTCATTCAATAAACACCTTTCTTTACTAATTATAGTTATTATCAACGATTTGATATTTTTTACTTTTAAAAAGTTGATAATCCTATGGCAAAAGATTTGGCAAATTATTTGTCACAGCTACATGTAATAATATAGGCGCAATTAAAAAGAACTCAAGAACAACAAAAAATTAATGCAGATACCTATTGTAAGGAACAACTATAATTCAATGTAAAAAACAAGATATGATTACTTTATCGCATTAACAAGACTATTTCTCTTTATGAAAAGTTGGTCTATTATAGGCTTGGACCTTTTCTTATTTATAAATAAGTAAATCCTATTGCTTATGAATTATATCTATCGGAGTCTATGAAGATCTACCATGTATTTTACGTGTCTCTTTTTGAACCATATAAGATAGTGAATATCTCGATGTCATGATGTAACATGATTAATAGATGAAAGGGATGAAGAATCTATTATATTATTAAAGATATTACTTCAAATATTATAACAAATTATCTTAAAAAATAAATATTAGGATTTTTAAGATCTTTAGCAATCTACTATTTGGACTGAAATAAAGTTTGTATATGAAAGTAATAGATTTAATTTGCTATAAATTTTTGAGATTTGAAAACAATTAAATGATTTAATAAGAAGATATTGGCACTAAAAATTTAATATTTAGATTGAAATAGGAGGCCGGCCAACACTCGAGTGGATTTTAGGATTTTTCTTCTATTTGGTAAATGAATTATCTTCAAAAAATTTATAATTTTTGCTAACTTAATTGTTAAAAGGCATGTAAATTTTTAAGCAAGATCAATGGTTCAATTGATAGATATTGAGGTTTTAAATTATACTAGGATTAGATTAAGTAGGATTAGAATTTGATTTAGGATTTGATTTAGGATTCGATTTAGGATTTAGGATTTGTCTAAGATTTGGTTTAAGAATTAGGATTTTTCTAAGATTTAATTTAGAATTTAAGAATTGTTAGGATTTGGTTTAGGATTTAGAATTTTTCTAGGATTTGATTTATGATTTAATTTAGGATTTAGGATTTGATTTAGAGTTTAAGTGTTTGTCTAGGATTTGATTTAAGACTTGATTTAAGATTTAAGATTTATCTAGGATTTGATTTAGGATTTAAGATTTATCTAGAATTTAATTAAATTATATTAAGGTTTCAACTAGGATTAAATTAAAACTTAGTTGAGATTTATTTAAGATATATTTGTGATTATTCAAATATTTTTAAGATTTCTTAAGGTTTATTGTGAATTTTCTTTTAACTCTTTTAAGATTTCTTATTGTTTATTTTATAATTTTTTTAAAGTTTCTTTTTAATTTGATTAAATCTTCTTTAATATTATTAAGATTTAATTAGAATTTATTTAATATTATATTATATTTAAGATTTTCTTATTAAAATTTCTATTCTACCTTCTACAATCAAGTGCCTCGTGCATTTTCGAGCAAGACTTCATATAATACTTCCCAATGTTTGGTGATTTTATTAGAAGTAGTAACAACTCCTGATGGTATTGAAAATGTTTTATTTGAAGGAAGTTACAAAGGCCTCAAGAACAATTAAATAATAGGATGGTCTTCTTATCCTTGTATGGGACACTATCAATGGGTGAGAAGACCTATCAACCATCTTCAAAGAAAATAAAGATCAGAGTATGTGGCAATTATAATCTTGAATTACTTCAATATATGAAGACCACTAGTCATAGAACTCGTCCCTAAAAGGAGATGTAATATCACATATATACATAAATATATTAATAAATACTTATATGATTAAGTAGAAATAGATAAAAGAAGATAAAAATTCGTTAATTTCACAATACCTTTTAGAGAAGCTTCATAAAAGCTTCAAAGACGTTGCTTTGACTTTATATATGATTATAGTTGATTGATATATTAGAAACTTAGTCAACAAATAAACCACGAATTAGTACTTGAAGAACAATCTAATTATATGGCGTATATATAGAAAACTTATCTTGTAAGTTAAGATACATGTCTTGCAAAGTCAACACATTTTAGAGGTCTTATAGAACATTGCCACATAGCTCCTAATTAAAGGTATGTATAGAGGCAAGAGTGAAGCCTTCTTCACTCTTGTCAATACTTTTCTAGATTTTAGTCTTGTTTCAAGACTTTCTAATCTTCTTGTTTTTAGCAATAGCCATTCTAATTCAATATTATATCATCTTTGATTTAATTTCTATAAGACTATAATTTTTTTTTAAAACCATATTTTAAAATAATTAAAATAATTAATAATTATTTATATATTTATATATTTATATATTTATATATTTATATATTTATATATTTATATATTTATATATTTATATATTTATATATTTATATATTTATATATTTATATATTTATATATTTATATATTTATATATTTATATATTTATATATTTATATATTTATATATTTATATATTTATATATTTATATATTTATATATTTATATATTTATATATTTATATATTTATATATTTATATATTTATATATTTATATATTTATATATTTATATATTTATATATTTTTATATTTATATATTTTTATATATATTTAATTATTTATATATTTTTATATTTATATATTTTTATATATATTTAATTATTTATATTTATATTTATATATTTAAATTTATATAATTATAATTATAATTATAAAAATAAAGATATAAATTAACATATTGATTCTTATAATTAAAAAAAATATGTTTCTTGTATAGTCTCTTCTTATTTTATATTATGTCTAAAAGCCAATGTTTTCAATGAAGGACTTTTTCATTGTAAGCAAGAGATATTGATAAGGCTTTTCCACTCTAGCCTTTCAAAATGGATTTTTAGGTATATTGTGTCTTTTATTTCTATCATAATATATTACTAAGTTTTTTTTTAAAATAGACTGATTAAATTGATTAATATCTATGATATTTTTATATAATATATAATAATAATAATAAAAACCATTTATATATATATATATATATATATATAAATTAACTGATTTTTTATTTGTAAGACCTCATATTCTAATCAAAAGTACTTCTAATCTTTGTAATCTTTTAATTTTAATGTATTTTTAGTAGAAAGTTATTTTTTTACAATATCATCTATTTTCATTTTAATGAATTAAAAAGTAAATTATTAAAATCCACCAAAAAAATTAGAAAATTTTACACTTACAAAAATAAAAAATAAAAAATTATAAATTATTATATTTTAATGTTTTTTTAGTAATATTCTCAATAAAGATATTTTACACATAATGATCTTAATGGAGTTGTCTTAAATTAACCAGAATGATTGTAACGAAATATTTTGCACAAACTATATTTTACTAGAATAGTACAAAAATGTATCAACATTATTTTAGAGTTGGTAGAGCATTACTGAGGTGCTTAAAGCCTATAAATAAAATTAAAATCTTTCCAATGGGGAATTCAATGGAGCCAATGTCGCTATGAAACAGATTGCATATGTGCGCGTCTGTTTTATCCCTTTTTCTCTTTTGGTTTTTTCCTTGAATTTTTCTATACATTACATGCATATCATGTTTCCTACATGGGATAGTTCAAGGAGAAGGAATCCATACTAATAGACTTTAGTTTAAAATACTGAATTGAATGAATCAAGTGCTTTGGAATGGGCAACTACATATTGATCGACTACGAGTATCGATCATTCGCATTTTGATATTAGATTCTCTGGAAGTTATGGTTACAGTCTGGATCAGAATTACACACTACCTGCGGAACATTTTCTTCCTGGCTGTTGCAGTGACCCCAGGTTGGATGCGAAGGAACTTTATGCCGTCATCGGGAACTTGGTGCTCTGTGAGGATTGCTCTGTATTCATTCACAGTGAAGGGTCTGTACAATAGCGGGCGGTCCTCTGTGATGAGCTCAGGTGGTACACTGAGAGGCGCCGCGTTATCAACCCCGTAAAAATATATAGTGGAATACCGAGACCTCGTAGTGTTTAGCGCCACTCGGTGCACTGCGCTGTGCAGAATGCCGTTCGTAATTGCCTGCAAACAATTGAACGTAACTACCGATTAGCCACATACTACTGGATTCAAACCTCGCAGAACGATAGCTAATAAGAGCTAGACTTGGAGAACGGGGACTTGTGGAGTGGATGTAGCTTACCATGAAGGTGTCGCCAAGGTTGACCACTAATGTAGAATCATCCGGTCGAATTCCGATCCACTTTCCATTTCTGAGCACCTGCAAACCTCCAACGTCGTCTTGATACAGAATTGACAGCATTTGAGGATCAGTATGGCTTGGTATTCCAAACACTTTGGATGGGTCAGGACAAGCGGGGTAGTGATTCACACGCGCATTGCAAATGGCGTCTGGTGTTTCAAGTTTGGTGTAGGTGTTGGGGGGAAGACCGAGGCCCTCCGTCAAACACTCCACAATCAGCCGAGAGAGCTCTCGCATTGAGCTGTAGTAGCGCGTCAAAGCCGACCTGCTTTTCAGAAAAACTCATAGATTAGTACCACGTAATGTTTTACAACATCCCTCACTGCTAATCTATCTCATCGGTATCATCATGAAGTGCTCACATGAACTCGTCTGCGAACTTTGGGTTATCACTCCATACGAGTGCCACCATCTTCCGGATTGCCTCCTCTTGTACCTGCATTGCAGATAAGGTAGACAACAAGTTCAGACGGTTTGAGATCGTCGCAGCACTGGCAATGTCTCTTGTATTGAGACCCCTAGATGTAGACATGTTCAGCCTTAATTAGACTATGACACACTAGAACAATTCGTCAACGTCAGCAGGTTGAGCTTACTTTCATGTGAAGACTTTCTAGCCACCATTTGTTCTTCCAGCTGACAGGAGATCCACCTATGTATCCGAATACGAAGTTTACCGCTTTCACTTGCAGTTTCTTCTCCATGGGCAGCGCAAAGAACTTCTTCACATTCTGCTCCACTTTCTTTACCTGTCAATAGAGCCGAAGCGATAGGCTTTCACCATATTCAAAACTTTAATACACATATCTGTGTGTCGGATACATGATAGTTGTTTGACTGATTCTTCTGTGCTGATTACACTACCCCCCTCGTCCTGACCCATCCAAAGCGTTTGGAATACCAAGCCACACTGATCGAAGCCAAATGGTTGAACTCTATGCTTATAGATTTGGCCGACAAGTCTTTTTACTGCTCCTCAGTTCTTCTGAAGAAATTCGCTGAATCTAAAACTAGGATTTTAACTCTATTATGTAACGCTACACCACTTCCGAGAAGGATATTTCTATAACTCTGGTTCGATGCTATCAGGTTTTCAGGCAGCGAAAGATGATTACTCTTGAAAAGTATCAGAATCGAAAGACACACTAAAGATGTTCAGTTGGAAGTATGGATGTGGGAAATATACCGTTTCCAAAGCAACGCCGTGGTTGCGAATCTTAAAGAACCCCCACGTTTTGGCAGCTTCCAGCATCCGTGCAAGGTTCACATACCGGGCATCCTTATCGTTTCCAAGCAGCGCTTGTAAGTCAATGATAGGAAGCACTTCGTCCTGCTCAAAGACATCGTAAGGCAATGTGGGCTTATCCTCTCCGGAAACCTCAAAATCCTTCAGCGACAGCTTCTTGTCCCACAGAGCTTGCATTGTGTAGGTAGGAATTGTGGCCGTCTCAACTTCGGGCTCTTTCATCACTATGTCGGCGTCAACGCAGTCCTCAGTTCGGTTCATCTCCGATACCCCCATCGAAAATCCTCAAGCACTAACTAATTCACAAGTTTCATCACCAGTCGAGCAATCAGACCACAATCTAGTTTCCCTGAGAGTATAAAAAAAGAAGATATAACACAATTCCAGCCCTTGAGAACTCAATCAATCAACCACAACGACTGTCCTTGGCAGTTCCTCTCCACTCTAAAAGCACACTTGACGAGTAAAATAAAACACAACGATCACTATTTGGTTTTCATCCCATGTAGGCTCTGCCGATAGAGCTACTTTAAATATGTATTCTAAAGCCATGCTGGCATGAGACAAAATTTCCAAGGCCATTCTACGGACCGTTTTGGACTATTCAGAAACGAGGACAAAACTCCGTGGAAGGACTTGGAAGAGCAGAATCCACAGACAAAATTTAGGAACTGTTTTGCTCGACTCAGCGCTACTGACAAAACATTATGGTTTATCGAAATATCCGACATTTGTTTATTCTTTCACGAACCAAAAATACGCTAGTGCCCAGGCTTTACCTCACTTGCTTCTAATTGCGGAAGCTGCTGAACGAAGCCTTCGATTCCGCTTCTTTCTACTTGGAGTTAATAATGCCACATACCACATATTTTTGGCAACATTCCAATAAGTATGAAATTGACGCGCAGTAAATCATGCAATTTCTCGAAGTGCCTCTTGGATTCTCTAGAAACTCTCCACAAGGTTGCAAAGCATACCTACCTCGTGGACTGTGCGAATGGATTCGTCGAATAAGTTGCCAAACCTCTGTTAAGGACAAAAAGCAAACAGACCCAGCTTGTTTAACTTGAAACTCAGAAAACTTCTTCGACGAAAAAAAAAGTGAAGGGGAAAATGATGTGCGCAAGCAGTGGGCACAACCTACAATGGTTCATCGAAGTCAATTTTCAATGCACCGTCGCGGAGGTTTAGGAACAACAAAATTATTAATATAATTATTGATTCATATTATTTATAGAACCTATAAATTTGTAGGTTTAGGGACAACTATAATTATCACAATAATTATTGATTCATGGTATTTATAGAAAAAATAAAGATAAATTTAACCACAAAAATCAAAATTTGGTGATTGGTTATTTTCCAGGGAACAATTCTTAAAATAGAATTAAACACAACCTCTAGGAACTTCTACTAGATTTTTTTTAAAAAAAACTAAAAGATTTAAATACATTTAAGCAATGATATACAAGATTTGATGCAAGAGTCATTTAGGATTTATTAATATTAAACACATTCAAATTATTTTAGATCCCAACATGGATTATGTTAAAAGGCTATGAAAAGAACTTGATAATATTATAGTGTAAGTAGCCATCAACATTCAACTAACATTGGGAGAAGTATTTGATAACACAAAAAAATCATGAGAGCTAAATTTGATTTCAAATATATTTAAAAATAAATAAAATAGTAAAAATTTAGGTAAGTATTTTGGTTATTAAATACAAAAAATATTCTCAAGAATGATGTTGAATTTTATATCTAATGCAAATTTTATTTTATTAATATACAACAAAATAAAAGATTGTCAAATTTTTGCTAAAACCCTTAAGATTGATAATTCAAAAGAAAAATAAGCTTAGAATTTTTTTTTTTAAATATATATAAAAATTATGGTTTAATAAAAACACCATCTTCTAAGAATATTCTCAAGTGATAAGTTAAATATCTCTAGATTATGGATTCAAAGTAATACACATATTTTTCTTCTTTTAAATCAAAAACCTAATATTTTGGAGCTTTATAATTATTTTTAAAATACATCAAATTAGATAAATTGATATATTTTATGACGATTTCTTGATATGCAAATATTACTCATACTTCACAAGTTTGTTTAAGCAATAAATTTTTTTAGCAACAGTATTCTAATACATCTTATTACTAATATAAATTGCAATTGAATTTTTTTATGCTACAAAAATAGTTTTAAAATGTAGACTATAATATGGTGATCTATGTAAAAAAGTATAGAATCCATTAGTGTTGCCATAAAATATTGCAATTATTTCTATTGCAATAAAGACCTCTTTATAATCTATTTTTTTTTTAAAATAATTACACCAAAAAATATAAAATCACATATTCTTATAATAAATTGTGATAATTTTTTATTTTTTTATTATTTATTTTTTTTACAAAATAAATCATATACAATTAAGATAAGTGTGACAATGAGATTGGAACATGACTAAAGACAAACAAATCAAAAAGTAGTTCATCATCTCAAACAAAATAGTAAGAAAATTTTAAAAAAATACTTAACTGAGGATTAGAACCAATATCGAATACTTTGTATATATAAGTGAGTGTGTTTTATTTTAATTTATTATTTGTACTTGGATACTTATGACTAAAAGCAGTTTTATATGCAAATTATCTTGTAAATTGAAATAAATTTAAGTTTTACACAAGATCCATTTGTCTACACCACTGCATTGCCCGTTCCCCCTCCCCGTTCCCCCATTCCCCCGTTCCCTATGTTCCCAACCCCCATCTCCGTTCCCTATGTTCCCAACCCCCATCTCCGTTCCCTATGTTCCCAACCCCCATCTCCGTTCCCTATGTTCCCAACCCCCATCTCCGTTCCCTATGTTCCCAACCCCCATCTCCGTTCCCTATGTTCCCAACCCCCATCTCCGTTCCCTATGTTCCCAACCCCCATCTCCGTTCCCTATGTTCCCAACCCCCATCTCCGTTCCCTATGTTCCCAACCCCCATCTCCGTTCCCTATGTTCCCAACCCCCATCTCCGTTCCCTATGTTCCCAACCCCCATCTCCGTTCCCTATGTTCCCAACCCCCATCTCCGTTCCCCCCGTTCGTCCCGTTCCCCTTTCAGCCTCAGCCTCGACAACTGGATGAGCTTCAGACGCTCAACCTGTCCAACAACCTCACTAGAATTGACGCCGAAGTCGCAAGGCTACCTATGTTGAGCAAACTGAACGTGAGCAACAACCAGCTAAATCGAGTGATTACTCCACTGTTCATGAATAACAATAGCCTCGTACTCCTAGATCTCTCCAGCTACTAACCCTGACATTACTAGATCTCAGCAGCAATGCAATGTATGGAATCATCCCTCCCAGTTTGGGATTTGCAGCTCGTCTAACTGTACTGGACTTGCACCTTAATAAGCTTGGTGGCGTAATCCCATTCCAGCTAGGCAGCTGCTCAGCGCTTGCATTCTTGTAAAATTTCTTCAGCTCTATGCCTGTTTCATCCAAATAACCCCTTGTTCCGCACCTTTGCAATGAATGAAACTGCAGTGTTTTACATAAATATATTGCCATCTGGGGTAACCCTGGGTTGTGTGGCAATTTGATCGGCGTGGCATGCCCCCCGAGCGCTCCGCAGCCCATTGTGTTGAACCCAAACAGCACATCCCTCGTCGAATCCCCGCGCAGGCACTTTTAAACAAGCACGTTGAACGCGGGGAGTTTGGGGCAGATTACTGAGCAATCCTCCCCGATGGCAACACCGTGGCCGTAAAGGAGCTCCTTGTTTCCAGCCTCGTTGACGCAGGAATTTAACAGTTGAGAGAATCCTACCCAGGTGGAGAGACACTAGACTCTGACAACTAGCAAAGAAATCCTCTGCCATGGGTCGTGTCATGGCGTCGTTGGAGGGATCCAAGAGCACAAGGCTATTGTTGTTCATGAACAGTGGAGAAATCACTCTTTAGTTGGTTGTTGCTCATGTTCAGTTTGCGCAACATAGGTAGCCTTGCGTCTTCGGCGTCAATACTTCCGGTAAGGTTGTTGAAGGACAGGTTGAGCGTCTGTTGAGGACACGTTGTTGAAGGACAGGTTCAGACGCTCAACCAGTTTTAATCAGGATAGTTGAGTGGCGATGTGGGTTTGTGTGGACGATTCATAGCATAGGCGTCTACTGCCCAATTCATTTTTTGGAAACCTTCGGTGCAAAAGGTCTATGTTGCGTTCCATTGAAATGGCCTCTTTTTTATCCAGCATTCAACAGGTAAGTCTTTTACATACGATATAGGCAGGAAACAAATGCATTGATCGAGCCTTATGAGATTGTCATCTTTAATGAAACAGTTTCATTTAATGAATAGTTGATCAACAGTATCTATACGGGATTACGTGCTGTGCGAGGCACCCTGTCTCAGCGATTGCCTTGACAAACTATGCGTGCACTATACTCTAGTCTGGCATCTAAGCTAAACGGTCTGTGCACAGTCAAGGTCTAAAAAATATTTTACATGTTCCATACGGTTGCTACAAATGTTCTTGAAATTGAACCCTGTTTTACGCAAGCGGCCACATAAAGCAAACGGGCAGTTGGCGAGGAATGCCACGATTGATGTCAGGTCTTCTTCTGTATATTGTTCAACTGGTGTCTCAGGCCTGAATTGGAAGACTTGTTGCAACCATCCCAATTGCATTCTCAAGATGCCTCTCAACTACGTCAAAGGGACAGGGACATAAGAATCTCTGTTACGTGGTCGTCCTCCTAGGTCAGCTGTGCTATTATTGCTTGGGCTTCAGAACCAGCATACTGATTCCTCAGTAGTAAGTCTTTATTGATTAGAAAAGGATCTCTTTCTTCATGATCCACTTGAGTGTATGCATTGGTAGCTCGTCGTCGCGAAAACTATTGATGTACTCTGTTTGTAGAATGTCAACCATATTATTTTTAGCCTTCCTACTGCGGAAGCGGCCTTGTGATGACACATCTTCATGTCCATGAATAAACTAAAGGAAAAAATGTCTGAGGGCTGCAGAAGATGGCGATGCAAGCATTGAAGAGGAAGCGTTCACAAGAAGATGCTGCTCCAAGGAGCTCATGACCTTATCACTTCCCACAAACCTGCTGACATTTGAATCAAGTCATCAAATCCTCATTAGTCTATGGCTAGATACGGAAACCCCTTTACATCATCAAAGGTTGGAATCAACTTTGAAATCAAGTTTGAGGATTTCTTGAATTCAGACTGAACAAATTGGAAAAAATAGAAAAGGGCTTGTTTATACAGGTCTTGATACGCACACCATCAAAATCATGCCGTCAGATCCACTATAACACAAATCTAAAGACGATTTAGTACCCTTAAATACTGGAAGGATGGTAACAAATGTTACATGTCTCTTTGTTCAACGGCAATGAACAGAGTAGCAATAATTGCCTGATGCGCTGCAATAAGATGTAAGTCCCCATTGTTTCTGTTCAAGTAATAAAAACAAACCTTCTACGTCATTGGGTAAATGTAACATGACGTCTTGAACAGCCTCTTCGGATGGGGAAAGTCTATCAATCATTTTTCTTATTGTACTGTAGGCAATTTGCTTAAAATCTCCGGTGGAAAATCTCGACATGGTTTCGTACGCCATACTGAACCAGTTCTTTGATACAAGAATCCTTGCAAATGTCCTGGTCTTGATAGCATCTCCAGTTTATAAAATGTTTCTGACTAAATCGAAGAAAGCATTTGCAGTTATTTTGTCTGAGATATTATTCCAGTTAGTAGTAAAAATCGAGAGCATGTGAAAGTGGAAATGAGTCATCAAAAAGTCTGACAATGCGGTAAACTGCTCGGAAGGAATTGTTTGCTTGGTGGAGAAGATATAAGCCTCCTGGAGCAGATGAGCAGCAGATATGAGTCCTTTGTGTTTTGTTGCATATATAGGGTCCGCACTGATGCATTCTTGTAGCGTTAAGCAAATTAAAGGGGTTCTAGAGTACGAGAGTGCTCTCAAAAAAGTTCCAAGGGTATTGTAAGTAGCATTCAAACTCTCTGGCAAGAGACCAAAACCAAGAATATCAGATACTGCATGATCTTTCATCACGCTTCTATTTAGTTGAGTAGATTTCTTCAGGAGCTCCACAAGATGTTCTGCGCGAGAGGCACTCACTACATCAGGACGATGAGCTTTTCCATAATATATTACGTTCAAAGTGTCTTTTTGTAAAGTTCCAAAAGCTGAAGCGAATGAGTGCTCAAGTACACGCAAAAGTGGTTCAAGTCCAAGACTGAAATTCTGGGAGAACAATTGGAAGGCTATCAAAAGTGTCTCTAGCGCTTGAATCGCACTACTAGCAACAGCATCTAAATTGCTTGCAATACGAGAGTCAGTTGGTGTTAGTGCCTGTGAATGAACATTAGGCTATTACAACGGTCAAATTATATATTCCCTTGTGAGGAAATCAGAAAAATTCCAACCGTTTTTCTATGTCATTCCTGTCGAGAGTCCATCTGTGTCTAAGTTGGCTAGTGATACATGGAGTCTCGTTCACAGTTGGGGCCATTGTTCAAAACAGATTACAGAATGTCCAATGTGTGTACAACGAGATATGACTAAATAAATCATGAACTGGTTTGGGGGTGTGACTTTAACAAGTCCCTATATATATATATATATATATATGTATATATGATGTTGTAGATTGTTCCAAAGGCAAGTAACTAATAACAACAAAATGGATATATAAAATAAAGCAAGACACTTCTAGATTTATAGCCAAATTGAAAGCAAGATTGGTGGCATGTAATTTTCAAAAAATTGAGGGTGTAGATATTTGAACACTTATGCATTGGTTGTTAAGTGGTCCACTACAGAAGCTATTATTGCACTAGTTCCAAAGTTCAAGTAAATTATAAGACAAATACATCTTATTACGGCTTTTTAAAATAGACTTGTGATATGCAACAATATATATATATATATATATATATACATACATACTTTATGAACTTTGTTGCCTATCTTGTAAACACTCACACAGACTTTATTTCTTTACCAGAAAATATCCGAAGCAACACAAAGACCATGTAAATCATTATCACAGACTTAAAAGTCAAACAAAATGCAACATGCAGTGTCATGCCTTCTGTTATGATACCTTGTGATACTTGACGGAACATACCAGTCATTATTTGGTTTAATCATTATTTCAAATACCCATAAACTAATTAATGAAACTTTGTAATGTATAAGTTAATGAAGAACACGTGAAAGGAACATTGACTTTAGACACTAAGAAGCGCTTTAAAACGGGCACCAGGCCAAGAATAAGTACAAGACTGAGTTGGGAGAAGGAACCAGGAAGGCAGCAGGAAGGGAGGGACATGTCATCGTGGCTATGGCTTCCTCTTCCACCTCGTCTTGCTCCAGTCTCAATCCATCTCGCTTGTCTTGTGCTCAGCGCCGACTAATTTTGCCGCATGTGGGTTTCCATCTCCATGTCCAAGCAGACTAAACCCACTTTCGTCGCTGAGCCTTTCTGTCTCGAGGTGCAGAGGTTTTCTGTCTTCGAGAGGAAGTTGGGAGACGGCGCTGGTGTGTGATTTTGGTGGAGACGGAGCGCTTTTACGGTGACCTCGAGAATTCGGAGGATTTGGAGAGTTTGTTGCTGAAGTGAAGGTCTTTCGGGAAGGTTTTTAGGTTCTGTTTGTTGTTGGATGCGGGTGGACGGATCGCGGGAGGTGGGGGATTGTAGCGGTATGTGAAGAATGCGTTGGCATATGAACTGTAAGGGCAGGATAAATCAGGCAGGGAGGCGAATGGATGTGAGATAAACAACGACGACGGAGGCTTTGTAAGACGAATCTCGCAGCCCGGTTGGCTTCGTGTCTAGCAATGGTTGTGTCAAGAAGACGCTGAGTAGTTGTGGGCAGGTGACTTACCGATTGGTATCTGAACGGTGGAGGCTCTTTGATTCGGGAGTGAGAAGAGTGGAAAGAAGGATTGGCGCGGAGCATGTTGCTGGAGAAAAAAGAGGTGTTTGTTGGGTTGAACGGGGTCAAAATAGGGAAGGAGAACGGCATGCGGGCGGGACTGTACAACAGCCCGAGTCCACAGCAGCGCTTTCGTCGCAGAGGCCTTGCTCAAAGACGTCCTGCTCATCTCTACCTTCTCATCGCAGGTATGTTTTTCTCAACGGTGACATCCCAAGTCAATAATAGCAGCAAGGTATTTTGCTACTTATCTCCAGAAGTTTGCTGTTGCAATGTGGCATTTTAAAATTTCGTTTCTAGTGTAGTGTTGTCTTTTCTGTGAGGTATCATCCAGGTTGGATGGCTCAATCTTGGGCGTCGATGAACTATCCCAGCTTAATTTGATCTCTTATTCTGCAGGATTGCTTTCCATAGCAGGATTCATCTTTGTTGGGCTGCGAGGGCATACCAATCCTTCCCAATCTGTGGTAAGTATGTGGATGACCTAGGTTGAGATTGACAACCTCATGTGGCAAGAGGTGTGTGGATTTTAGCCAACTGTAGAGTGACTCATTGAAGGCTACTAATTCCTCTTCATGCCTTATTCCCGAGAAGCTTGCTTAGCCACGAAAAGAAACGTGGGAGGAAATTTTGAATGATTAAAGAGTTGGTTAAAAAGGGAATTGTGAGTGTTTAAGTAGTGTAAGAGTGGGAAGTCAAGTTATGTATGACGATGAAAACAAAGTAAATATTTGCGGACTTCTTTTCAGCTGCGTACTTAACTTGCTGTGCTGCATGAATCCACTTGCAGAGTGAGAGAGCAGCTGGCATTGATGGCTCAACAGAAGAGGCACTTAGTCTGGACTCACTTTCAAGACAGCTTGGTGACCAAATGATACTTTGCAAATCCTATGCCGTTATTGCGAAAGAGAATAACAATCTACAGTTGGCTTGGCATCTGAGTGCTCAAATTCGAGCTGCACAACAACTCCTATCTCTTGTATGTGGTGAAGGTGTTCTATTTCATGTCAGCTCTATTTTGACGTTTACTGTTCCAATATTGTGCTTAGGTTTTAGATGCAGGATAAATTTACAGAGATACTTATTTGTTGCTGAAGTATGTGCTATTCCACAGTATATTATGTACTTTTCTTCGCTATCCTTTGTGGGCTTATTTTTCCTGGTCCTGTTTTTATTGACTACGTTTGGTTTTCAGACCGCTACCCGAGGAACTCCAATTCTATGGGACGAGGCAGAACCAATCATGCGAGAGATGGCTGCTCTTATATTTCAAGCCAAAGAGCTGCACTACGACAGTGCAACCATGCTCATGAAGCTTAAAGCTGAAATGCAGGTAGGTATCTGTTTGATGCCCTGTGTGTTTGTTATCATGGTTGGGCATTTTCTCAATTCTTACCAACTGTAGGGTTGTCATATTTTAGCAGTTGTGTATTGATTAATTTGTTTGACAAAGGGAAATATGAAGTATTCTTTATGTTTGGAAAACAACCTAGGTTGATCACCTAGTGCTTGTTGGTTAATTTCAAGATTAGGGAATCTTATGGACTTGATTCCTGGTCTAGGCTCTGGAAGAAATGGCGAATACAGCGGCTACCCAAAGTGCAACATTTGGGCAACTAGCAGCTGAGGCAGTTCCAAAAAGTCTTCACTGCTTAAGCTTGAGACTTGTAACCAAGTGGGCTACTGACGAGAAGTTACGGGAAAAAGTAGGGGCGGCTGAGAAAAACTTAGCTCCTAAACTCACAGACACTCGGCTTTACCACTTTTGTGTCTTTTCTGACAACGTATTGGGCGCTTCTGTTGTCATCAATTCAACGATAGTGAATTCGCATCATCCGGAGCTTCTTGTCTTTCATGTAGTCACAGATTTGGTGAATCACGGGGCGATGCAAACATGGTTCGCTGAAAATGATTTCAAAGGAGTGGCTATCGAGATTCGATACGTTGAGAGCTTTACATGGTTGAATGCTACATATGTTCCAGTTCTTAAGCAACTTCAAGATGCAGGAACTCAAAGTTACTACTTCCGGTCTAACACCCAGGGTGGTGGAGAAACTCAGAAAACTGCGTTGAAGTTCCGGAATCCTAAATATTTGTCTATGCTGAACCATCTCCGCTTCTACATTCCTGAAGTTTATCCCACATTGGAAAAGGTACGCTACTGACCTCAAGGTGTTCATTTTGGCGGTGTTTCAAGTTAAGCGTATGGTATACTTTTCGGGTGGTTGCAGCCGTGGTGGGCTTTACATCAAGAGCTTGTCAACTCGTATTATAAAGTGGTTAGTTCTCTGGTTGTTGGTGGATTCATATTAGTTTTTCCTTTTGCAGGTTGTCTTCTTGGATGATGATGTTGTGGTTCAACGGGATCTTTCGGACCTTTTCTCGCTTGATCTCCACGGAAATGTTAACGGTGCAGTAGAAACCTGCCTGGAGAGCTTTCATCGCTTCCACAAATACCTGAATTTCTCACACCCCAAGATTAAGTCTCACTTCGACCCAGATGCATGTGGTTGGGCGTTTGGGATGAATGTTTTTGACTTGGATAAGTGGAGGGAGAAAAACGTGACCGCGAGGTACCACTACTGGCAAGAACAAAATGTAGACCGGACACTTTGGAAACTAGGGACGTTACCTGCAGGACTTCTTGCCTTCTACGGGCTTACTGAACCTCTAGACAGACATTGGCATATTTTAGGACTTGGTTACGACGCAAATATTGATACAGAATCAATTGAGAATGGCGCTGTTGTGCATTACAACGGCAACATGAAGCCATGGCTAAAACTAGCTATGAGTAGGTACAAGCCTGTCTGGGAGCGGTACGTTGACTATGAAAACCCTTACTTACGACAGTGTAATTTTCACTAAACCATTTGTTTAGTTTGCTTAGAGTTTTCACATTCTTAACCCCAACCTGGAGGTCTTCTCGTTATTTTCCAACCCAAGCAACTCCTTCTGAAGATCTATCAAGGATGGGTTACTTCTCCAGCCGATGTTCTTCAGGTCTACTATTGGTGAACTCGACATTAGTTTACCAATAAATTATGCATCAGAAGCTGTGTAAGCAGCAGTTATCGGAGATCTTCAGACCCTTAAAACGGGAACTCGGAGTCTGATCTGCTACTTTCAGAACTGGAGGAGCAACCTCTGTTGAATTGGCAGAGCAAGACATATGAAAGTGAAGACGCCAAGGTACAAAACAGAGCTGGTTCGAGGATAATCTGCCCCTTACCATGGCAGTCTTTCTGGAAACTCGCGAAAGTTGGGTAGGTGCAAGGAGAGTATAGAAAGGTGATTTCTTGCTTTTGTTTAGAAGTGGAGTGTTCTCATATCAAACGCTCCTGCTCTACGCTCACTTGTGGAATCAAACTTATTTTCATTGCTTTTGAAAATTTCAAGTGGGATCATGGGACCCTGACTTAGGTGTTGTCCTTCTTGCCTTGGTCAAGAAATATATCTACGTGTCTGTTTTTTGGAATTGGAACGTCGATTGTAGCTATTACCCAAGCCAAATTTGGCTTCCGTTGGGACATGTCCAGACTTCAGATCTCATGTATTACTTACTAAAAGACCCCGAAGGTGATGTAGTTACTGGTAGTTGTTCATGGATAACCGTTAGCCTGCACTCATGTGGCCATTTCATATGAAAACTTCCCAGCGAGCCTGGCCGCTAGAGTTTTCTTGTGATACCCTGGTATTCATAGCGAGACACAGGATTTGATTGCAATGACACCGAATCATGTAACTTTATGAGCTGTAGATGAATGCTGATTTAGGTGCATCATCACACGAAATTCTGTAGGATGGATCAATCGACGCTGATTCTCATATGAAAGAGTTCTGATTATTTCCGATCATTTGGACAATATTGGCAGCATGAGTGGGTAATTTTTCAAACTCATGTTCAGGTAGTGTATTAAATTGGATAAATAAGTATGTACTCCTGTAATTGTTGGTAATATAGGTGGAATAAATCCAATTTATACAATACAGTACTGAAATAAATTACACAATCCATGTGTTTTCAATTTTGTGAAGATCTCTCAGCATATTTGTTCTACGTCTTTCCCAAAACCCTCGATGTGTGGTCACCTAGTGATCAACAATGTTGCACCTCAGGCTGGGCGCAGTTAATTAATGTGTGTTCTTCAATTGGCCAGAAATACAAGATTACTGAAACAGGGCGTTTAACTTCGAAGAAGTTCATTGGAAAGTTCGAATGGCGAACATGGGCATCATCACACCGAGGCTATTGTGGCACCAGATAACGTCAATGCCTTGGTTGTGTGATGGTCTTCTTCTGGGAGTAGCAGTGGCAGCTATCTCTTCCACTTGCGCACTTGGTTTCGCCTCGGCTTTAATGAGGTTTCCAAAGATGAGTTCCTCTTCTTACTATGATCCATCAGGCTCAATCCAAAAAGTGATGATTAGTAATGCTTGCCCCGAATGTAACGCACTGCACTTTTATAACATCAACAACCCAACTGGGTACAGCTCTACATTGCTAGAGTTCGCATCGGACTCTCTGATCATTGAGGCAATCATGTCATTTATAATATCTTTCATCATCGTCACGTTTGCGTTGTTTTTGGTTCGTGAAAGAAGGTGATTTTCACTGCGTCACCCCTCTTCAGGATTAGCTTAACCTCGAGGATAAAACTGAACTTCGTCCCGCGTTTTTCATGAAATGATGTCTTTCAGGTCCAGAATGTTTTTGTCCAGAAACTGAAGTAATAAATCTTAGAACTTGTATAAAAGAGCGTAATGAATACATCTTGAGATATCGGACAGGATTCTGTTTCACATCGGCAACAGATAAGCACGTGTGCTACGCTGCTTCTTTTGCTTTAACGATTTGAAGTACATGAAAAACAAAACACGCCACTCAACGTCTGTTATAGCTCAGAGAAGCGACACTCAGCAAAGTGTGAAGCGCAAATCATGCATCTGTAATTCTTCATGTTCTTCTGGTCTACACTGGATGTATCAGATGATAATTGCATCAGCAAAAACAAGTAAAAATTCATGATAACGCGCTGTAATTGGAGTACGAAAGGACAAAAATTAGCCATCTAATTGTGAATAAGTGAAATCATATGTGTTATAAGAAACAAATATACACGGTGCCTATGAATGCCATTATTGCCACCATATTCGGACATCACCCTCAGCTATGAGAATATCATTACCACTCGTGTTGAAAGCCGCAAGTAATGTCTCTTGGTCAATACTACCTCGCATCAAAATCTTAGGGCTACTTGTAAACCACTCTGATACTGTAAAATCTATGCCCACGAAGTTCCTGTTTTGGCCAGTTCTCAACGAAACGTGTAATGATGAAAGCAGCTGTTTACCAAGGACCTGTACAATGCCTCTCATGTTACTGAGAGGTTTATTCCTTCTTAGAACGATTCTGGAGGAGCCAAAAATACTACATTCAGCATAGCAACATGAATGGCACGCTGTGAAATGTTTTTGTGGATGAACTCGCAAACCAGGACTTCGGATATACATTTGACTTAACCTAGAGTCAAACCTCACAACTGCATTGGGTGGAAATTTCGTATCATTAGCGAATGCAGACACTTGGATTTCTTGCTCAGCCATATTTGTTTGCGCTGCAATCTCCGTTTGAGATTTAGAGTTCACTCTGGTAAATTTGAGGCCATCTGTTTTAAAATGCGCATCCGCATCACTCACGGAAAAATAAAGTCTTTGAGCCTGTAGATTAAAACTCTTAACTTTTGCAGAAACCCCTCCTTGCAGAAACACACTTGTGTCTTTGTGTAAGATAACTTCCCCAGCTCCAGCGTGCACCTGCGTAAGCTTTAAACATTAGAAAAGCAAGAGGCTTTGGTAAATTCTAAACGTTGCAAAATCAACGTAGTTCACCTCACAGAGTATTAGTCATTAGAAACGGCCTCACTAGTTGACAGTAGGCGGAAAATTGAAATGGAAGGAAGTCGAATAGACGCAAAAGAGGTACAACATGAACGGAACTCAGTAATCAAAATACAATCTGATATTGAGATTCTGCAGCACCGGTTTCCTTCCAATGAAACCATCTTGAACAGCATGAATACACATGACAGTTTACCAGCAACTATTGCTTTCATACATTTCCATACAAGCATGCTCAAATATTCAGTCAAAAGATTCGTACCTCGGCTTGTAGTGCTGGGCATGAAAGGGATAGGAATCCTGGCGAATGTATGCGCCCACGAGCGAAGTCGAATATTAATCCTTCCTCGGCATTAACAATCACATCGACAGAAGAGTTACTTTTTTGAGATGCCTCCTTTGGAGATGCCACTATAGCAGGAAATATTCTTTTTCGTTTCACTGTTGAAAACGCAAAAGAATTCTTATCGCTCGATTCAAAGGTCCTTTTCATTATTCTGCCCAAGGCGACCTTAAATGCAAGTAATTTCTTTGCAGCCCATGACTTCAGATTGAGACTAAGGTCTACACCACTAAAATATGTACCGGGAACTTTTATATGAGTACGACACACACCACCAATTGCAGGTGATTTCCAATGCTGAGAATCGCCTAGTGAGAGAGACATCATTTGTTCATCTAAAGCTGGTAGTACTCCTTTAACGCCCCTGTTGCTTGCTCCAACAGTACGTAACCCTAACCCCGATCCACCAGAGAGAGTGTTCAATCGCTTGCTGTTCGTGGCTGGGCCCCCAAGTCGGAGGATTTGAGACACTGCCTCCCATGTCTACAAAATCATCACTACCAGCTGTATCAAGAGAGAGATTCTTTCAATGATTACAAACTTTAATGAATATATTTGCTAAATGAAGGCGTAGAACTTAATACCATCAAAACCAACATCTAAGTTAATATCAAACAAAATTCAACCAGTGTTAACTAAAATGTACATGTCAATAGAGTGGCAAACTCGCTCAGACACAACTCTTTAAGAACCAAAGAAAAGTATCTCATAACCTAATCCCAACAAGTGGAAATCATTTACCATTCGCATTACCTATCTTTAAAAGCATGGACATAAATTTGCTGGGACCAAATATACGCCACATGATCTTGATTCATTCGAAACACCTATAACTTATCACACGTACCATTCAACAACAGACAATAAACTTGATAGATTTTATGGGTTCGACGACTGGCATCACAGAAAAGATCGTTTGTTCTACAAGTAAATTCTAACCCCTCGGAACCAGTGCAAAACATGTCCACATATTGACTAGCATGTCCTTACAAATTTTAAACGCCTAAATCGTGTTTTGCTTTATCATCCATCAACATACTAAGGAAAGCCTGTACTAACCAAAACTTTGCAGTGCAGAGTTGCTCCTGTTGTTTTCTCTGCAACCTTCAAGTTTCCTACAAAAGTACAAAACATTTCGAAAGTAAGCTGGATTGCAATACTTGGTTCATGCATATGGAGTGAGCTTGAACCAGATTTATACAAATTCATAGTCATCGTGGCGAACTGCATCAACCTCATACGCAATTAGAATTTTCATCTAATGATAGATCCGATCCGTGAAGAGTAAGTGATTGTGATAACTTCCATTCAAAGCTTAGGTCAGATATTTACACCATGTGTTGAACACACACGCACCTAAGACTTGTAGTACAGAGTTGGGATAGGACACTGCATCGATTGTTGCAACATCAGCTTGAAACCTATAAGCTCTCTCTCCACGAACATAAACTTCTCCTTTCACCTGTTGAAGCACTCACACCAACCTTAGAAGATGTGAAGACTCGGAGATTACCATCAGAGGAAGCAAAGTATGAGAAGGATGAGTGTGTCCATTATTAAACATCGCAAAACAAAGATCGTCAGAAAGAGGCCCAGTTATTTAGTAATATCACATTCGACATTTGTCAAGGTGTTAAAAGATTGACGTTAGATCATATGTGGCTAGATGTTTTCTTACTGTGGTTGCTGTGCCGGAGGCCAGGTTGGAAGAATAAACGATTGAGGAAGATGTAATGCGCCATGAGGGCAGACAAATCCCAGTGACTTTGTCAGGCTCCGCATAATGCTGCAGAACAATGCCTGATGATTGAACCTGTCCAGCTGAAGGTGTCATGGTCCCCACCGCAACGCCTACTTGAGAACCCACCAATTAATCCAAAAGAATCGCCTGTGAAGTACTAGAAATTCTCCTGCACGTCTTGCCAGCCTAATCCAATACTCATTGCACAGCGCACAAGCATTCCTCGAAAAACCCACAAAAGATTAGGGCTCAGTGCAATCAATCAACGGACTCAGAGGCTTCAAATGTATATCAATTTATCGCAACCCCTTGGAATAGTCGCACATCACCACTAAGTGAATCTCAACAAAAATTGACAGACCTCGGAAATAATAATACTAGAGCACCTGCATTATACTTCTGGATCAAGACAATCTGGTCAATCTACCCACAAGGTACTCCACAAATAGACTTCCAATAGCGCTCAACAACACCAACCACACCTTCGGCTCAACTCCAGAATATCCATTCGCCTCAGAGCTGCCTTTTCACTACTCCTATCTCCAAGGAATGAAAACCCAAGCGATTCGCACAACGGGTACTAGAAGAAGCTCCCTGCGAGACGCACCGCCAAACACCATTGTACCAGACCCACGTCTTCTTCACACATCCCGGCAGAATCCATCCAAGTGCCAGTTGCAATTCAGTCTCAGCTTCGACACAGCTCGCGCTACGACGCTTTGATCATCTTCGATTCCTCCAACTGCACCTGTCTCACGTTCAGCAATAGCAGCTCGTGTGAAGAGTTTCGCAACATGCGGCACGGACGAGAATGGATGCGAAGATCGGCTAATTGGGTCTCGAAAACCGGCGAGCCAGCACCCCCGTGAATGGATCTCTTCCAAGAGCGCTATTGAAACCCTAATTCGACATCGCCATGGCGGAGAGGAAGAGATCGACTGACGGTGACGAGCTCGTTGTGTGAAAACAAACTGTGTATTTGTCTAAGTTCTGGATACTTTAAATCCGATACATCGTTTGCAACTTTTTATACCTATGCATGTTGTTAACATCATATAGCAAGCTGAAACCTTTTTGCGTTGAGAAAAAGTTCAAAAGTAGTCAAAAACAGTGTTTATATAAATAATTACATGAAACGTTCTTAAAATTAATATAGGGTGTAATATAGATATATTGAAGTTATATAGAGTAAGTAATTAAAAAGCTATAAGTAAATAAAATAAAATAAAAACTAAAGAAATATGTCAAGTGGGTGGGAGGTTGTGGTGGCAATAACAAAAAATTATGGTGACATCAGTGATATCCTTTATGGAATGGATTCTATGAGAAGTGAAGTCAAGTTAACAATAAGTGTAATTTCTTTTTATTGTTGAATATGTACTTGTGAGAAGTGATGACTTTCATGAGGCATAGTTAATTGTTGTAGGTTGTTCTACAAGTTGTTCTTTATTTAATCCATTTACTTTTTGTGGTATCCATGTGTTGAAATTTTAAACTATTTGTAATTCCTTTGGCCTTGTTTTTTAATCTCTTATTGTGAAATAAATTCCAATTAATGGATGATTTTGCCATTGTAAGATTGGTACAAGATCTTACCTTGGTATTTACTTGGAACATATGCATCACTTGAGAGAAAAGTTTTAAATATTAAATTATACAACTATCTAAAGATTGCCACAAGATCTCATTGTAGTACATAGTTACATTATGTACTTGATAATAAGATAAGAAAAAATTTGATTTTAAAATATTTCACAATATAAAATTTAAAAATATTGAAGGTCTGCTTGTTTTTCTTTTAAACTATGTGGTGGGACTTATTGCCTTAAGTGATTAACTTAAAAACTATGTACATAGTTATATGCCACATAGACATAAGTCTAAAGCATTTTATCCTACTACAAACCATGTTTTGGAGTTTAAATACATTTTACAAATTGAAGTAGAATTAGAAAATAGAATTTCAGAAATTGACCCATTCAAAGAAGTTTGTGACTATATATCACAAGCTTCTATTAGAATTGAGCATGATAGAAGCCATCCTTCAGAACCTTAATTAGATTCCTTATCTTCTATTCTAAGGCTCACATTAAATTTTTTATCGAAGTACTAATTACTAATTTAGTGACAAATGGTGGAATTATTTGATATGATTTTCAACAACTTTAATGGATTTTGCATGTAAATCATATAGATTTCTTGTAGAAAGATCATTTACAAAATGTATTTTATGAATTTAGATCCGTAATTGGCCAATAAACAAGCTCTTCAAGCTCTAATAAACATTAGAGGAGGTCCTTCAAAAGATATCACTTCTTTTAAGAGGCAATTTCATATAGTATGCATTCGATACGTTGGTAATCTTTTAAATGAAGATACCATAATGCACTACTTTATTTAAGGTCTTATCATATCTTCTACAATTTAAAATATACAAAACAAAAGACTTAAGAATTTAAAAAGAACTAATTAAGCAATTAAAGAAGTAGAAATTATTGCTAAATATATAATTATATATTTAGAAGGATAAAATAATAAATATCTATTTTTACACTATTATAACATTGTTTTATTAAATTCCATCAACATCTAAAATAAAGCTACTCTCAGCATTCTATCCTTTATTTTTCAATTAGCAATCTAATAACCTTAGCTACATAAGCCCTACATGATCAAACTCTAAATACAATCTCCAATAATACTAGATGGAAGAATTTAAAAGTGAAGTAAAGAAAATAAATGATGTATTCACAAACAAGATAATAAACATTATAAAGACCATTAGTAATCAAACATTTTGTCTCATTGAAAACTAAAGTCAAACTATAAAGCTAAGATACAATAAATTGAGAATTTGTATCTTTAGATTGTAGTATACAAATTGTAGACCAAAAAACCACACAATCTAATTTTGACCACAACTTCTACAATAAATATATATGGAGAAAAATTAATTCTAAACTTATAAGTCTCTTCATAATCTTTTTGCTTTAAAAGGCATGGCTATTTATTTTGTGCTTCAAGTAACAGGTTTGTATAGTAAGTGGGAAATTTCACTCCTTTTACTTTTTTAGATTGTATTCCCCATATTGACTATGACCATCATATTAAGTAATTTTTTAACTATATAAATGGCTACACTTAAGCTTAATAAGATTGCTTTGCAACTTCACCCTCTTTACATTGTCTTGTGAATTGAGTAGATTAATTTTGCTTAACTTGACTTGTAGAACCTGCTTTTTTGCACTTTGGATCATGGTTGTCTTCAAAATCACTTTCAACTATTGTTCAATTATGTCTTTTCTACTTAATTATTTTGCTAATCTATCTTTCTATATTTTTGATTTATTTGCTTATCACTCTAATTACAACACTCTAATGGTTGTATAGTCTTGTATAACAAATATGTAGCTATTGAATGTTTTAATATCTAGGTTATTCACATCTTTTCTTTTTATCTCCAACTTGGATAGTTTTGTAGTATTAGCATTGGTTGATAGCAAATTGTTTGTTTAAATTTGATAGCAATCATTATAATAGCTTGTTCACAAAAATGAGTGATATATGAATTCTATTTTTTTATTAAAAAACTTATTATTCATCTGTTGAAGTGCTTTAATCTCCTTAAAGTACTTCCATGTTATTTGATCCTAATCTATATATGTTTTTGAGACAATGAAATTTAATTTAAGGAAACCTATATTATCTTACTTGATTGCACTTTTCTTTTATTTCTAATGTCCTATAGATTAGTTGTCTTGTCTTAATAGTTGTTATTAAGGGGTAACAAAATATTCAACTTTGTATACTATAAATCAGCCTTTATATATTCAATCTTCTTAATCCTAATTTTTTATATTTTATTTTAGTACGAAATAGAAAAGAATTAAAACCAAATTTAACCAAAATTCAAAATAAATTTGATATTAAATAAAATTCTTATCTTGGTATCTTATAAGTGATGTCCATTAGTGAGTTGATATTTTTTAAGATTATAGAAAGTTGTTTTTTTCTAAAACAAATTGGCTAAAGCCATGGTTGTGACTATCTTTAATTAATTTCTTCTAATGAATTTTAATTTCTCTTAATTTCTTAACTTGACTATATTCTTAATTTTTCTACATTTACGTATATTTTACTTCTTTATCATTTTATTAATTATATTGCTGCCTTAGTTTTGGTATTTGTCGACTTATTTTTTATTATCTATTGATTGTGTCTTTCCTTTGATTCAAATATTCATCTTCTTATTTTTTTTCTTATTTGTTGATTATATTGCTGATTTGATTCCAATGCTTATCAATAGTCTACTCTCATGCTAATCTTATTGTTGTTTTGTCTTTGGTATATATCAATGATGTATCCTCTTATTAATTATGTTATTGCTTAAATTCTAGTATTTGTTGGTTTGTTCTCTTTTATTTGCTGATCATATTGCTACTTTAACTCTGATGTTTATCAATAGGATACCCTCTTATTGTTTGTATTAATACTTTGGCTCTAGTATTTGTCGATGTTATGCCTTACTACTGATTGTGTTACTATTTTGATTTTGGTATTTATTGACTTGCTACTTTTTGTCTACTAATCATTTTGATGCTCCAATTTATTGGAATTATAATATTTATTCTAATAGTTGTGAATCTAATAATAATATTTTTTTGTAATACATATATTGAATAATGAATGAATGTACATTACTTATGTTGTTGAAAGAGAAGCAACTCGAATGGTTGCACCTCTTTGATAAGGTGCAATCTTAATTTTTACTATTTATAATTACTCATTTTTTGTTACATTTCAATTACTGAAATTTTCATTTTGATATATCTGCTAAAACAAACTATAGTAAGGATGGTATTTCTCCTCTATGCAGATCTAAGATAGAAAGATAATAAGCCAACTCCAGATCCAAAAATAATTCTGTGAAAAGATCAGCAAGCATTTTGATTCTTGAACAATAATAAAATTTAATTTTTTGTTTAGTGGAAAATTGTACAATAAAGTGATAACAAATTTTGATATGCTTTGTTTGCAAGTGGAACTTTTTGATGTCTATAAAAGTAAGTACAAATTGATCATCACAATAGACAAGGGTCAATTACTTGAGAGTGCCAACTTTGCACAGATTGTGTAAAAAATGTTGTAACTAAACCACCTTGGAGGCCATTGTGCCATAGCCATGTACTTGGTCTCTATACTCAAGAAGGCTGTGGAGTGCTGGTGGAGCATATTCTAACTTATTACACCATAAATCAACAAAAAATAATAGCCAAATATAGATCTCTTTTCGTCAATCTTGCTTACCTAATCAGTGTTGCTATAGCCAAACAAAAGGCATAAGACAAAAGGAGTGCAATAATATTTCAGATAAAGAATAAGAAAGCCACAAACATATTAGAACATGTGTTTATAAGCTCAAATATACGTTGGCTTGAAGTCATGTATATATTGGGCAACAATATCCTTATATCAAGGATACAATAAACAATAGATTTAATTGCAAGCAAAGGAAATTTTAAATAAAAGAACCTATTCCATTGGCATATAGAAAGGTAGCACTTGCAACTTTATTTGCCATTGTTTGCAAGAAATTTATTATTGATATGTGTATACCAAGGGCTAAAAAGATAGAGATTGGATGAGTTTTGAAGACGCCAAACTTCAAAAGCTTTTATTAGAAGCATAATGTCTGATTTACTTGGATCCAATCACAAGCAAAATCATGAGTAATTTTGAGGCTTAAAATGTGATGTACTTTATCTAAATTGAAAAATAAAATTTTTGAATAAAATTATTGTTTAATGATTTAAAAAAGAGCCAAATTATTGCATGCAATAAGGATATTATTCATATAAAGTATTAAGATTATAAAATTTGGATCGTAATAGAGGTAATATATATTACTATGTGCAATTGAATTTTTAAAACCAAGGATTGCTAAGAATATATTGATCACCTTAAACCATTTGCAGAG